GGGGAGGGTTCTGGGTTGTCCCCAAGTCAGAAGTTAGGCTCCGCAGGAGGTGAAAGGATAGGCTAGCCAGGGCTGCGGGGAGAGTTTGCAGACCTGAGGGGTCGCTTCTAGCAGGTGGCTCATCCAGCGACTGGGGCCATGCTGGAGGCTTGGAGACTGAACGCGGCCCCACCCCCTTTTCTCTCGCTGCCCCCAGCTGAGTAAGAAGTACGGACCAGTGTTCACCGTGCACCTGGGACCCTGGCGGCGCGTGGTGGTCCTGGTTGGGCACAAGGCTGTGCAGGAGGCCCTGGGAGGTCAGGCTGAGGAGTTCAGCGGACGGGGGATGTTGGCAACACTGGACCCGACTTTTGACGGCCATGGTGAGTGGAGCCTGCTTCCGCATGCATGTGACCTTCGTGCAAGGCTCAGCTTCGCTGGGCCCGTTTCCTTATCCATAAAATGGAATGATAATAGTGCCTGTACATAGGGTTGCAGTGAGGATTGAATGACGACTGGGCTTTGCACAAAACCAGCACTTGGTAGTCACCAGGGTGTGGTAGGGTTATGTCTGGGCCAGGTGAAACACCCAGGGCTGGGAGGGAGGGGCAAACTTTCAAGGCACTGGGCATTAACTGATGTGTAAACACAAAATATAGAAACTATTATCTGTGCTAAGACTGAAAGCCAGAGTTCCGCACTGCAGTGACTAAACAGCCCGGTCTGGCTCCCCCACAGAGCCTCACCAGTGGGGAGACAGACCTGTCACCAGATAGTGACAGTCTGGAGAGGTCAGGGATGAGGAAGGGGCTGGCAGAGGGGTCAGGGCCAGGATGGGGAAGCCCTGGGACTCTAGGAATAGGAGGAGGCTCTGACCCAGCCTGCTTGCTGGGCGGGGGGTCCAAGGTATCTTCTTGAAGGTGGGGTGTCTGAGCGGAGACTCCCAGAACGAGTGGGAAAGGTGTTCCTGGCGGAGACCAGCTAGCACAAAAGCATGGAAGTGCGAAGTATTCACCCATTCAACTGACAAGTTTTCATTATGCCTGGTCCTGCCCTGGGTACTGGGGATACAGAGGTAACTGAGATAGATGTGGTGTCCCGTCTTACAGTGTGGGGGGAGAATGGGAGAAATCTGGGAAGGCTTCTCAGAGGAGATGACATTTGAATGGATACGTGAAGGATAAATGGAGTTAGTTCAGGGAGGATGGAGAGCTGAATGAGCCAGGCAAGGGGAACAGGCAAAGAGGGGGAATCCTGCCACTTTTGAGGAAGTGAGAGAAGACAGTGCCATTGTAGTGGGATGAGTAATAAAGCTGTTAGCAGCGTCAGGTCATGCAGGGCCTGAGTCCTGCCACCACATTTGGCTTCGGGCTTTCTGGAGGAGCAATAGATACTAAGCAGGGAAAGGGTACGAGTTAGAAAGGTCCTTGATTGCTGTGTGGGACCCCAGGGAGGGGACTGGGCTGGATCGTGGCTGGGGCCTCGGGTTGGGGCGGGGGAGGGGATTTGGAGAGGAATCCAGGACTCCAAACAGGAGTGGGGGGTGGCAGGGCTAAGAACAGGGAGGAGGAGAGATGCTGAAGCCAGTAGGGGACACAGTGGAGGGGTGGGTGGATGGGGACCCTGGGAGGAGGCATCCAAGAGGCCATTACAGGCCAGAATTCTACAAGTGGGAACACTGAGCTCAGGGCAGGGACGGGTCCATCCAGGGCAGGTCTCTGAGATAAGGGAGGAAAACTGCAACTCCATCCTCTTCCCTCCTTCTTCAACTTCCAAACAATGTGGGGCAGGGGACCACACAGGTTGTCTGGGGCGCTGGGATGGAAGGAAGGAAGAAGAGGAAGGAAGGATAAAAGTATAGGTGGGTGAAAGAGGACTAAAAAGATGGAAGGAAGGAAGGAAGGAAGGAAGGAAGGAAGGAAGGAAGGAAGGAAGGAAGGAAGGAAGGAAGGAATCTTCACTCACCTGGTTGATCACAGAATAGGAGCCTGGATAATCCCAGTTACCAACTTCTCAGGAAAATGTCACCCTCTGCCCTAACGACAGGTATTTATCAAGCACCTACTGAGCCCTCATCTCTGGACTAGGTAGATGTGGACTCAGGACAGGGCCCGAAGAACGCCCTATGGGCACTTCGGAAGGAAGGGGTAGTCCTAGGGAACGGAGAGAGGGGCCAGTCGCTCCTTGAGTCTGGCCTTCCATGCAGGGGTTTTCTTCTCCAATGGGGAGCGGTGGCGGCAGCTGAGGAGGTTTACCATGCTCACTCTGCGGGACCTGGGCATGGGGAAGCGAGAAGGCGAGGAGCTGATCCAGGCTGAGGCCCGGTGTCTGGTGGAGGCCTTCCAGGCAACAGCAGGTGAGCAGGCCAGGGGTCCTGAGTGAGTGTGGGGAGGACCCTCCCATGGTGCCTGGGCTGGGGGCTCTATTCACCTCCACCTCCAGCTCCTTCTTTACCTCTGTCGCTGTCCTGCCGTCCCCCTGAGAGTCTGTGTCCCTGGTATTGTCACATCACTTTTCTGCCTCTTTCTCTCTCCACTCCTGTTTTTCTCTCCTGTAAATTTCTCTGTCTCTCTCCTTTCCTGTTTGTCTGTGTCTCTTTCTCCCTGTCCTTGTCTGTTTCTCTGTCCCTGTCTGTCTGTCTCTGTCTCGATGCCTTTCTCTTTGTGGTTGTTTCTGGCCCCCATGGAGTCGGTCCTCTCCGATTCCATCACAACACTCCTCCTTGCCTCCTCCCCACCAGGACAGCCATTTGACCCCTCCCTGCTGCTGGCCCAGGCCACCTCCAATGTTGCCTGCTCCCTCACCGTGGGCCTCCGTTTTCCCTACGAGGATGAGGAGTTCCAGGCTGTGGTCCAGGCTGCTGGTGGCATCCTGCTGGGGATCAGCTCCCCTTGGGGCCAGGTAAGCAGTGAGACCCCCTCTCCAACCACTTTCCTCAAACGTTCCTGCCTTCCTCTTCCAGGCAACCCCCCAGAGCACCCCATCCACCTGCCCCTCCGCCTTGGTGCAGGGCCAGGCCCCATGGAAAGAGCTGCCCTTCTCCCCACAGACCTATGAGATGTTCTCCTGGCTCCTGCAGCGCCTTCCAGGCTCCCGAACCCAGCTCCTCAGCCATGTGAACACCCTGGCCACCTTCGCCATTGAGCAGGTGCAGCGGCACCAGGGAAGCCTGGACCCCTCAGGCCCTGCACGCGATGTTGTG